AGGAACATAGGAACAGGAGTAGGCCATTCAGCCCTTCGAGCCTGTTCCGCCATTTAATTAGATCATGACTAAACTGTACCTCAACTAATATGATTACAATTCATATGCATATCCCTACAACACTGGAGGTCAAGTTAAGTGACTCTAATACATGCACAAATATTATTTCATTTAATAACATTTTGGCCAACAGTCAAGATGTGCACGTTTCAAAAAGCAGAACAGATATTTCACAACACGGATATTTAAATATAAAATAGATTTGCTGCAACAGGTATTGTAGTACTTATTCCAGTCATGGTTCAATTTTAGGCCACAGCACTCGATTAGGTACCCATTTCATTGTTTATGTATTCTTCCATCTGACCATGTCATCCTCCACTCATAGTAAAATTTAACCTTTCATCTGTGATAATAATGCAGTGACCTCCTAAGCCACAACTCTGGCTGAATAAAGTTTACTTGAGTTATGCTCTTGCCTTAGAAAAGACAAGAAATGGATGCATCATTGGTGGCATTTATTCCAAGAGAATATTTTTGTTATATATGTATATGAAGCGCACACTCTTTGATGCCCAATTAAATAAAATCTTGCCATGGGCTAGGAACATTACTGCGGCTGTTTTCATGGAACATTAAATCAGGAGGCAGGGTCACTTGGAATTAAGTAGAAGGTTGTTTTTCTCCATTATGTTATGTAAGTTTCAATGTAAATCACATCATCTCCGTGGTCCACACAATCCAGCATTGGATCTACTTTGGAGTTGAAAGAACAAGTCTGCCGAATTCAGAAGAAATGCAGAATAGACTTGCAGGATTGGGACCATATCAACTTCCAAGAAGCATTTTGTACTCTAAAATGCTGGCTCTGGAAAAATAATAATGTATATTCATTTTAAAATGGTCTGTAATTTTTTTGAATGTTTTTTTAAAAAGGTATATATTCGTATATTCTATGAATAAAGTAAAATTTATTTCGCCCACAATATATACAGTCAATTCACTTTACAGTATATTCTGTGAAGCGTTTTGCGTCATCTCGAAGATGTGATAAGGCGCTATATCAAATGGAAAGATTATTATTATTATAAAGTAAGTGTCCATAGTGTTTCCATTCTGCAGTTTTAAGTTTCAATTCAAACCAGCTATAAGCTTCAATCAGCCTAGGACATAATTATGCAACATACCACACATGAAACTTTTTTATGCAGTGGCTTCACCTGTTCTACCTTGCAATCCCAGTGATTCTGACCCTACCGCCAAGCTGCATAATGTAATAGAACATGTTCTAAAGGCAACTTCCGGGTAAAAAAAATATACATTAGCAAATATTGAGTTTTCCCGCAATAAACTCCGTATCCTCCTTTCACCAGCACTAACCAAGCTCCACTGACTCCCTATCACTGAACTGATTGATTTCAAGATCCTCACATTCAGCTTCAAATCCATTCATGCCCCAGCAACTCCCTACCTCTCCAACGTGCTTACCTCCCACCTCACTACCCGCTGACTCCACTCGACTGGCTCCAACCTCCTGCTTGGCGCTTGTGCCCTCTGTTTCACCCTCGGTGGCCGCTCTTTCAGCCACTACACCGCAAACTCTGGAACACTCTTCATCTATCTCTCCGTCTTGTCCTCCCTTACCCATTTTCAGGTCATGCCTGAAGACCTTCCTCTTCAGCTAACACTACAACTGTTGGTCTGGCCCTCACCTGCCTGAAGACCTGCTGATTTGCTGCAGAATTCTGGTTCACGTGACTTAAGAGAAAATATCTCATTTTGTAGTGGAGTGAAGTGCTTAAATCAGCAGGTCAAAACCTTAGGCAAGATTCCTTACTCCAAAGCCTCCACACGTCTCTACCTAGCAGCAATAGGAAACCAGTTGTTAGTTGATTGACGGATCGTTTTCTGGGGGAAATAATCCCTCCAAATTTTTTTTTAAAGAATAACGATTTGGTCATTCAATCTACATTGTTTGTGGGACACTGCTGTTTGCAATTGGCTGGCATGTTTTGCCCACAAAACATATAGTCAAATCACTTATTAGTTTATTCTGTGAGATGTCTCGAAGACGTGATAGAGCTCGGACCTTGGGACATCCTCTCGGCGTAAAAGGCACAATTATGTTGTTGTTGTTATATCAAATGCAAGGATTATTATTATGAAATGGCTTTTCTGTATCTAAACTCACTTCAGACCATTTGAAAGTTTCTTCTGAGCGGAAGTTGTTCAGTGAAAGGTCTTGGCCTTTTCAATGAATGGTTGAAGAACTTTCAATTCACTATCAAAGCATGTCTTATTGGTGAACAAGAAATATACTACCAGGAACAGCAATGAGATCTATGGACTAAAATGTTCAATTTTTACTACAGTTGATAAATTCTCTTTTAGGATCTTTTATATGGTATAATACAGTACTGCTTCTGATAAAGAAGCTTAACTGGCATTATTATAAGCTCCATCCCATTACAAGTAACTCTTCTGAGTATTAGATTTAGGTGAATCATTTAAAAAGCTCTTCAGAAGCAATTCAGTGCTATATTACTGCTTTGTGTTGAAGCTGTAAGTGGGCTTATTCTCACCTATAATTACAATGGGTGCAGAATAGCCCTATGGAGTTGATCATACCCAAAGCACTAACAGCTCCTAGATGGATAAGTAGCAAGGAAGCTTGCCAGAAAGTGCTCTCAATGGCAAGCTATGCGGTTTTAGCTGCACCCCAACACACACTCTGGGATCTCCAAGTGTTGGCTGTCACCAATCTGCACCTAATATTCTCCTTAATTAGGCAAACAGGGTACATCCCTCCAAGGAGAGAGTGCACATTCCATTCTAGACACAGAGAAGTTTCCATGTTCAGGGTGATGGATGGTACTGGGTCTCTACATGTGTCGGACACCCGGATAACCAAAAACAACATTCGATCAACGGTATCATCAGCATGTGACATGGACAAACATCCATAAACATTATTTTAATCTGCTACTTGCTGTATCCTGTAACATTATCTTCTACACAAAGTTCCTCTGTAAGTTTAACTTAGTCTGAAATTGGAAACCAATGGATCATTTGGATTTCATTTAGGGTTTTATGATGCCAATTTAAGGAAAATGTTGTTGTGTTTTTAAATACTTTCATTTTTCTACAAAAGATCTCAGATGTGCAGAGCCGTAATTTTGTGGGAGTCTGAACTGAATAAAATAACATGCCAAATTCAGTACTTGCTTCAATACTTACAAATATCAGTCCAAATAAAGATAACTTGTACTGTACTTTTAAGCTCTTCTCATCCAAATATCTGGCAAATAAACTTCCTTTAGAAAACAGTGACACATATTCCCCCCAAAATAGCAGAAATAAGTAATGTTAAATTTATACAACATCTTGAGCCATATATGGAGTATTGTGTGCAGTTCTGATCACCATATTATCGGAAGGATATCGTAGCATTGGAGAGAGTATAATGTAGATGAACCAAGATTGAGTGGATACAACTATCAAGAAAGATTGAACAGTTTGGAACCTTTCTCTCAAGAGAACAGATGAATAACACAGATGATAGAGGTGTTTAAATGATGAAAGGTTTTGAAAGGGTGGGCGTCAATAGGTTGTTGTTTCAACTTGTTGGTGAGTCCAAAATGAGGGAGTATAAATATAAGATGCAAGTAGCAGATCTAAAAGGGAGTTTAGGTGGAACTGCTTTACACCTTGTAATGGGTGGTGAGAATGTAGAACTCCATTTGGAAGCTGTGGTAGAAGCAAAAAGCATCAATGTATTCAAGAGGAAATTTGATACATGCAAGAAGGAGAAGGGAACAGAGGTGTTTGGGAGAGGGGATTAAGAGGGTCAGAGACTCATGTGGAGTACAAAACATTGCCACAGACTAGTTGGGCTGAGTGGCATGTTCCTGTGCTGTAATGTTCTATGTAATTACAGTATGTAAAATTACAACGTGCGGTTGTAATTGGCAGGTAACTTCCAACACTGGAAGAAACCTTTAACCTTTTCCTCTTTCTAGTCATTTCATTGAGAGGGTTTTACAGATTAAAAACGAGTGCTGGATAGATCAGAATTATTTGGGAATCTACAGGGTCTAATTTATGGTATTCCTTAAAGGGATTCTTTCATGAGGAATCCAGTTAGAATTTCCTTTCATCCACAATAATTCTACTCTCGATGCACATTGTTCCCATGAGTCAGTGTGACATACTTCCAATTACCATAAGACATTACTTTTACGTGATTCAGATTCCTCGTTAAGAAATCTTATTAAGAACGACCGCAATTTAGACACTTGAATAATTGTTTTCTAAATCATCAATAAGTCCACTCAAACCCTAATAATACTGACCAACCTGTGCCCTGTAATGTCACATGTGCTTGAAACAAAAATAACATGGGAAAGAGTGGGGCAACATGTAACTTTGATAGCAGTGGTCTACGTTTATCAGGTCAACCTGCCTGGGAATGCACAACACATAGTTGTAAGTCCAACCCATTGATAAGTTTTCATTTACATTCCTCTGCAAAATTCCACTGGGGAGAGTATCTAAAGACTGGGAATTGAGTGAACATCAATCTCTAAACAAAAGAAACACAAGTAAATAAATGGGTTAAAAGATAAAAGAAATGTATTAGAATTTTTAAGGTACATTTGTGATATCTAAAAAAAATTGTAATAATATGGTCACTCAATCCACCACTGCTGTGCACAATTGGCTGCTGTGTTTCACCCACAAAATATACAGTCAATTCATTTTACAGTATATTCTGTGAAGCGCTTTGAGACATCTCAAAGACTTGATAAGGCGCTATATCAAATGCAGGGATTATTATTATGATGATGATCTCAATATTTTCCTTCAACAGTATCTATTTGAAAACAATGTTTATGCAACAAGACCTTATCTGTAGTATTACATTGTAAACCAGGTGTATGTAACCTGTCGTGCATGGTGGAACAGACCAAATGATGAAAAGGTACAATCTTTACATTTACCTACTCTGGTCCCAATTGGCAGCGAACAATATCAGGATCTTCCTACCATAGTGATCAGCGTGCTGGAGGACTCCCGGAAAGCCATCAGTCAGAGCCCGTTTGATGCCGGGATCGTCCGCTTTGAAGTTTTTGAACATGTCCAGGTTTTGCTGGCGGTAGAGGAAGTACTGAGCGAGCAGTTTAAAGGCCTCGAAGTGATTAAACTTCCTGGCTCGGAGAAAGCGTAGGATGAAGGCATCATCCGTGCGCAGGAACCCGATATCAGGACGGGTTATGATCATGTCTCTAACCTGCTGGATGTCTTGATGCAAAGTGTCCGGGTTCTCATTCAGCTCCAGCCTGGATTTCTCAGTGGTTTCGGCCCGGAGCCCAGCTTGCAAATGGGTCATTCTTTTTTATATATATATATATAAAAGAGAAGCAAAAACAAACGATCTTGGTCTTAATTTCGGATCTCCTGCGGTGACAGCAAGGCACTAGCGACTCATAGCATCATGTCCATGGTCCCTGTTCACAGCCGATGGATTGCAAAGGTTTGGGTTATTGGACACTCCTTTCCATCTCTTGATAACTAACACATGATGCCGAAAGGCCCGTTACATGGCTGGACTCCCAGTCCTTTTCTGCAACAAATTAAACCTTCATGTATTATTACATCAATAAGAAAGGCAGTCTGCAGTGGTAAAGGGAAACTGTGTTACTGTGGTCCACAGTGTGAACCTTCCTGATCCTTATTATAGTACAGTATCCACCAGAACACATCCACCAGACACCAGGCTCTCATCACAGACAGACAGACAGACAGACAGACAGACAGACAGAGCTGGGATGCCTCTCACTGAACATACAAGTGTGAAATGATCTGCACTCACACAGACAGACAGCGTTACACACGAAATAAGCCATAACCCCCACTCGCCCCCACCCAGCCCTCTCTGAGCAGATTAAAATTGTGTCCATTTCATTGTAATAACACAAATGAATATTACACTGTAGTGTAAATGATGTATATGTGGTGGTGGGGGAGGGGGGGGGGGGGGGGGATGATGTAGGACCCTCCTCAGTGAATTCCTGCTTCCCCGAATTTGTAATTAGAAATATTTAGACTTTAAGCTATTTTGTGTGGATGAGTTTTGGTACATAGTCGCTGGGGGTGGGGGTGGGGGTGGGGGGGGGGGAGAGATAAATCGCTCAGTGGGTGGGTGTGTGCTCTACTTAACTCGGTTTCTGGTGAGTGGTCTCGGTCGGTGGGTCATGCAAACCGATCAGAGTAGTCGAGCTCTGATTAATACCGTCCCCCCAAAAAATAAAAATAAAGTCAGACTGTAACCGGTGTGTGGTGCCCAGAAATTGTGATCAATGCACAAACACACAACACAGACACACAGACACTCAGACCGGGCGGACGCTGTCCCGCTCCCAACCCACACACAACATAACACTGTCACAGGGAGGAGAGCGATGAAGAATTCCCGAGAAGGTTTTGCACTTTGATGCGCATTTCTGCACCGACCGCCATCCGCTGCGCAAAGCGGTGAGGACCGGCGGAACGATGCGCCGCACTCACTCTGTCCATCAGTCAGTGGTTAAAAGAACAAATAGAACAAACCCCACAAAAAAATATCCCCTCAAAGGCACTTAGCGAGGAGACGGGTATCACACCCCTCTCCCTCTCCCCCCCCTCCCCCCCCCCCCCCCCTCTCCCCTCTCCCTCCCCCCCCCTCCCCCCTCTCCCTCCCCCCCCTCCCCCCTCTCCCCGTCTCCCCCCCCCTCCCCCCTCTCCCCCCCCTCCCCCCCCCCTCTCCCCCGCCTGAGGACCGAGGGAACAGGGAATAATGGGAGGAATGAATCGCCCGCAACCCGTGCAATTTCTCTACCGACACCATCGCGATCAGAGTCAACGCGACGACGCCGAGTTGTTTGCAGTTTCGTTGCGCATTTTATTGAGCAGCAGCAGAAATAAAACCGACAGAAACTCGGAGAGGGAGAGGGGGGGGGGAGGGGGAGGGGGGGGAGGGGTGGGGGGGAGAAGGGGGGGAATAAAAGCAAATAAAAACGAGGATCAGTTTTGCAAATGTGATGTACTGCTTCTTAAAACACACACCACACACCGCACACACACAGCACTGTTTAACGTGGATAATGGCACACAGAGATGCGAGGGAATTTGGTTTCCAAGCCGGTGGGGGGGTGGGGAGGTTAGGGGGGTAGGTGGGGGGTGGGTAGGTGGGTGGGGGGTGGGTGAGTAGGTGGGTGGGTGGGGGGTGAGTGGGTAGGTGGGTGGGGGGTGGGTGAGTGGTTAGATGGGTGGGTGGGGGGTGAGTGGGTTAGATGGGTGGGTGGGGGGGGTGAGTGGGTAGGTGGGTGGGGGGTGGTGGGTGAGTGGGTTAGGTGGGTGGGTGGGGGGGTGAGTGGGTTAGATGGGTGGGTGGGGGGGTGAGTGAGTGGGTGGGTGAGTGGGTAGGTGGGTGGGTGGGTGGGTGGGTGAGTGGGTTAGATGGGTGGGTGGGGGAGGTGGGTGAGTGAGTGGGTAGGTGGGTGGGGGGGTGAGTGGGTAGGTGGGTGGGTGGGGGAGGTGGGTGAGTGGTGGTGGGGGGTGAGTGGGTAGGTGGGTGGGTGGGTGGGGTGGGTGGGTGAGTGGGTTAGGTGGGTGGGTGGGTGGGTGGGTGGGGGTTTGGTGGGTACATGCAGATGGATTGCAGATGGAGGAGCTGTTCATGCAGAGAGGTGCTGGCAGACAGCCACCAGAGCCGGCACCATGCGCTCAGGCTGCTGCAACGAAGGGCAATGGATGGCAATGGCAGCGCTTTTACCGAGTGGAACCTCACCTTTTGGTCTCTTTTTGTTTTGGAGGGGGTGTGGTGGTGGGGGGCGGGCGGGGGGAGGTGGTGGGGGGGGGGAAGAAGATTTGTTTTTTTTTGTTTTTTTTTGTTGGGTATCTTTTTTTCCTGCCCCACACCCCACCCCCACGGAAAAAAAAAAAAAAAAAAAAAATAATATTCGCTCTCTCCTACAAAAGTGTCGTCTCCTCGGCCGGACAGGGCTGTCTCTGCCAATAAAGCGATTTTCTCTTGAAGGCTTTTGGAATTTGAAGCCCCTTTAGCCCCCGGTGTGATGCCAGGGATGGGCGTGTGTGCACTCCTCTCCCCCAGTCCTGCCTCGCACCGAGTGGATCTCCCGGGTCTTAATGCCTCCCTCAGTTTCTTCTGCACACGACTCCCTCCGCCCAGCGTCTGCGCACACTCCCCAGTGCCAGAGATAACGTGTGGTTTGAATGGGAGGTCGCCTCGCTCTAACCTGTCTGTCTGTCTGTCTGTCTGTCTGTCTGTCTGTCTGTCTGTCTGTCTGTCTGTCTGTCTGTCTGTCTGTCTGTCTATCTATCTGTCTATCTGTCTATCTGTCTATCTATCTATCTATCTATCTATCTATCTATCTATCTATCTATCTCTGTCTGTCTCTGTCTGTCTATCCGTCTATCTATCACACGCCTAATAATAATCCCTCCAAAAACCCCCAAACGATAGTAAATTGGTCATTTTCAATCTACGACTGTTTGTGGGACATTGCTGTGCGCAATTGGCTGCCGCGTTCGCCCACAAATATACGGTCAATTCACTTTACAGTGTGTTCTGTGAAGCGCTTTGGGATGTCCTCCCGACGTGAAAAGCGTTATATCAAATGCAAGGATTATTATTATTATTAATATTATTATCTGTCTGTCTGTCTGTCTGTCTGTCTGTCTGTCTGTCTGTCTGTCTGTCTGTCTGTCTGTCTGTCTGTCTATCTATCTATCTGTCTGAGTGTCTATCTATCTGTCTGTCTATCTATCTGTCTGTCTATCTATCTGTGTGTGTGTGTATGTGTTACTCTAATGTTATACACCTAACACGGTTTTAAACCATTCTCAGTCCTATTCCAGCAATTGCTTTCTTTACCCAATATGTGATGCATTTGCAAGGATTCTTATGATAACTGAATGTGAAATATTGCAAAGCATTTAATACCCAACTATACTGGCTCCCACACCCTTCCCCACTATTTTCAGTTGTCATTTTATCGAGTAAAGCAGGGAAAGATGCAGGCTATTGGTGAATGTCATTTTCATCATTGCTATGTTTATGATTGTGGTGTGAATAATTTATGTCGTTGGAATATGTCAAACGATACCTCCTAAATGATCATATATTTATAAAAAATAGAATGTTAAATTACATTTCCATGATGCATATATATCAGGAAGTATGCGGTGTGACAGAACCTATAATTAGTATAACCATTAATATGATTAATATAATTAATTCATATAACCATTAATGCCAAGCATNAAAAAAAGTGTGCTTTCTCGAACTCGGCTCTGTGAGCTCATCACTCCTATCCTCGTGTGGATCCACTGGCTCCCCAACCCCTATCGGATTGAATTCAAGATTATTTTGAAATACCTACTTGACCTCGCCTCACCTCTGCAACCTCCTATGACCTGACTCCTATGCTGCTCCTTATGCTTAGCTAACACGAACCTGCTTCACATTCACTGCCTACTCTGACTCACTATTGGTGGGTGAACCTTCGGCAACTCTGCTACCATTCTATGGAACTTCATCCTGGGGTCGGTTTGCTTTGCCCCTTCCCTCTTTGTCTTCACAACCCACCTTAAGACCTATCTCTTTCAGACTCCAAGATGTTATCCTAAATGAAGGGCACTATATAAGTGCTGGTTATTGTTCTTTAAGTCACCTTTCCTCCCTCTTCAGCTCCCCTTCCCCCACTGGTTCAGGGTCCAGTATAGTTATGTGCAGTGTTTTGAGACATCCTGATGTGAAAAGCACTGTATAAATGTAAAATATTGTTGTTGTTATCTTGTGTGACCAAATCCTGGAAATCTCTTGCACAGTAGTTCTGAACAGTAGGCAAAACATTACAGAAAATTTCATGGAGTCAATAAAGCTTTATTATTTGTTGAGCCACAAGAGAGTAGCTGCTAACCACAAAACCTTATAACCATTTCCATCTGAAAACAATAAAGAGGAAAAACATTAACAGGTTGATTGAACTTGCATATGTATTATTTCAAGTCCTGTATTTAAAAATCCATTCTTAAGAAGAGCATGAAAATGAAAGATGTCACACAGATATAAAAAGTTACCAAATTAACAGTAGACAGTAAATAATCTTAATAAAATTGTTGTGCTCACACATTTGTTCCTCTTTGCAAGCGTAGCAGGTGAAGATGTTACACCAATTGACAGAGACATAAACATGACCCAATATTTGACCATAACTAATGAAACAATGGTAGGCTTACAGCATTCAGTGCGACCATTATTGTAAGGAGACTGTTAAATTGCAGCAGTTCTTTGAAGGTTTAGATGCAAATTTTCTTAATTTTTGGTCGGCTGCAGAAACCTATCTCCATGTTTAAGAATATCTAAACCAGATTGAGAGTTCCAAGCCTCCCATCTACATATGGAAATTCCCATGTCTGGAATGGATATTCCCATGTCTCACCAGAGGGAAGCACCCTTACAAACACTGATTAAAGACATTTTAGGTGCAGCTTCTTTTTCAACGATATAGCAATGTTCAAATCCCTCTGAAGGCTGTTGTAACTCAAGTAGATGAGACAATAGCTATGAGCAAGGGGAAAGGGGTGTCACTTGAGGCACTTTATTTTCCAGTAAGCTTCAGGTTGTTGGCACTATTATTATTATTATCTGGAATGATAGTTCCTCCTAGCCGTTGGCCAAAACTTGAGATTTACTCCATAGCTTCCTCAATAGCTTCTTTGATACTGTCTGGAGCCTTT